GTATGTGCCGCATGTTTCCTGAAGCCATGAGCGGTGTGCAGATAATGGTGCGATGAAGGAGAGGAGGGTAAGGAAGAGAGGGAGGATTTGGGGGATGGGGGCTGGAGTAGGTCTTAGGGGCACCAGGGTGGCGTAGATCCAATTACTGCCCCCCCACACTGAGTCCTTTGTGTGTGTGTCCCTACTGATAAATGAAGCTCTAAAGCTCAGCCGGGCTCACGCTCAACAGCAATACACCAGCATGCATTGCAGCTTCTGCAGAAGAACTGGCGTTGCGGTATAAGCCAAGTTCACATGACCCATATGTGTGCACATGTTTGCATGCATGTGTACTTTTGGTGTTGTTACAATGGGATTCAGATGCATTCTTGAGCAATGACATCACAGGTTTTGTACAACACACATGAAGGATGTGAGACCTTGATAACATCAAATGTAACCTCAACTAACAAAAGGTACCTAGTCAGTAAGTAGCATTAGGGCTTTAAAACAAACCTCTGGCAACTTCAAGTTTGCGCATCGTATGCAGTCATGACAAACTTGGTAATAGCTGTTGTGCCTCACCGTGAGGAACTCTACAGTGGTAAGGTGTGATAATGAACAATTTGTTTATGCATACAGATGTCTCACTGTGCACTTCATTGCGACTGAAGTTTACTGCAGTGTATTTATAATGAGTCATAGCATATTGTCACCCTTTTAGCCTGTTCAGTTTTAACCAGTTACCAATGTGCCACACACTTTTCCTCATTGTGATGCCCATTGACGCATAAAGTTTTTTGTGACCCTGTTTGTGTGTGCCCACAACTCCTCTCCAGTACACAACTCTTGCTGGCCAGTGGCATCTCTTAGCAATGCCAGCCCTCGTCCCACTGGTGACGCCAGCCCCCTGAGAGCCCCAAGTCTCCCTCAAAGTCAGAACTACCATCTCCTGGCAACAGCGCAAGCCTTCTACATCTTAACACCTCCGGTCTCCTGGCAACTGTGTTCATAGTGGTGGTCACAAGAGGTGGAGCCTGTGTTGTGCTACAAGCTGTGTGGCCACAGGTGCTGATGGCGCCCCCTTGAGATTGGTGGTGGCATCACAGGTGTGGAGATTAGAGGAATGACCACGCTGTAGAAGAGTTGCGGACTGAGTTTGTTCCAACCAAAAGAGTGGAGGCCAATCATACTCCACCTCCTACCCAGCCAGGCGTCATCCTCCACCAACCCCACGGAAGTCTGTCTCCTAGCAACGCTGACTGCGTGCACTCCGGGAGGGATCCGGAAGTCCACATGCTCAAGCGGTGACGTTCTTGGAGAGCATGTCAAAGCACCCCCCTCCAAATCTTTCTCTCTCTCTCTCTCTCTCTTTCTTTGGTCTACTCCAACTGGCTCCCACGCACAGATTTGGAACGGCTCCTGCACGCAGAGCCTGGGATGAAAATAACAAGGCCACAAAAATCTTCCGCTTTACAGTTTCTCTCTTTATGCCACCTATCATTTCTCTGTTATGAGTAATGGGCTAATGACCTCAGATAGCTTAGGACTTCAGGAGTGCAAACTTTTTTTAAATCTCTACTTTGTAATATTTTCATATATTATCTTGGTATTGAGGACTGTTTGACCACAAATTGCTTCAAGGTCTTGCAACCTCTCCTACCTCTTCTGAACCCTCTTCACCTGTGATACTATTGCCACAAGTCCATTTAAAATCACTGCAATTGCTTTTGCTTACTTGGAACAAATTTTTGTGGTAAATATTTATGGCTTTGCTTTTGCCAACAGCCTTAAAGTTGGATTAGGTATCGGTTGGTATCAGTGAGAACTAGCAAAAACAACCCCAATCGAGCACTACCGGCTTGCTCTCCAGAGCCTAGACCAGCTCATTAAGGTTGGCATCACACTTCTCTCCATTTCCGTGAGTCTGCTGAAGCCCCCCATCTTCCCCACCCACTCTCTCTCCTCAGAATTCCCACTGCAGCTCTCCAGCCTCTTCTCAGGACCCCGGAGAATTCTGCTTTCCCACTAGTCAGTGGCGTTCAGTTGGTGAGCAGCTCCAGCCCACCTTCTGCACATCAGAGAACCTCTGTGAAATCCTAATCCCTAGAGCAGGGTGAAACACAAGCCTGGCTTGCCTGACCTCTTTGGTTGCCATGGATACAGTGCACTATAAATAAAACAGAGTTTTTAAAAAAAAAAGCAGTTTGGCAGGGCTGTGTGGACTGGTGGGGTTCACTGTAAAACCAACACTTACCCCCCCAACCCTACCCTGTCTCCCACCTCTACTGTTAAAATTCAAAACAACTATCAGTTTCTTGCTTATATGAGTCCAAACCTGAGGAAAAGTGAAATTGAAAGAGGGAGAATGACAGGGGGGGGGGGGAACATAAAGCAAGCTCTTGAACTAGCCCTCACGCATTAAGGAAACCAAGTTGTTTGTGGGTGCCATTTTTAGGAGCATTTAAATCTGTCGAGTGTAAACAGACAGAGCTGTCCTAACGGAGGCCCATTAAAAAAGGGAGGCCCATTTTCTTCAAAGTGGCGGACCAGCGGCGTAGAGAGACGAGGGAGGCTGCATGTTTGTGCACTGAATCAGGGCTGTGCTGCAGATTTTTGTCTGGCGAGGCGAATCTCAGGAGGCTAGGAAATAATTTGGTCACGGCTGTGGGAGGTTGCTGGGGGTGGGGGGTGGATGACTGTGAGGGGGTAGGGGGGGCAGGGTTTCGACCGTTTCGCTGCGGTGAGAACACGCTTGACACTTCATTCCTTTCCAGTTAATGCGGCGTGGACTGCAGGAGTTTAACCCTCTGTCTGCCTGGTCCTGGAGTTGGCCAAAGTCTCAGCAAGTGACCAAAGAGCTCCACTGCTTCATATGTACATTGAGAACTAGTCTGACCACAAGCAAGCAGGCAGCCTGTGGAGTTTCATAAATATTATATGTGATGAAAGTTGTTCAACAAAGAACATAGCTGCATGAAAAGTAGTTTAAGGATACAAATTGGATAAAAAGGATAAAAATTGAGTTCAAATGAGTGCATATAAAAAATGACCACCTTACTGAATACTATGTTGACATGTATCTCAATATTCTTCTTTTGGGATGTTCTTATGTGCTCCAAGGCACAAGTTTAACATCCAGTGACCATGTTCAAGCAGCATGTCAATAGACAAACATCCCTGTGACTTCCTGCGTGCAGCCTCTCATGTGACAGGGGCGAGACTGAGCCTGTGGCAAAAACAAAGGCTCGCTCCACTTTCCAAACAAACTAACCCTGCTTCTGCTGCAGGTGGACACACTGGCTCACGTACTGGCCATCAACCCAGATTTTCTGTGGGTGTGTTTTTTTTATTTGTGTGTGTGTGTGTGTGTGTGTAGCGGGAGAGCAGGGAGTTAATGCGGCAGGCCTGTGGCGGTCCTCCTGCCCTCAGCCAGATTAATCATGCAGCAGACCCCGTTCCCTCTGCCTGGGGGCCCAACTGTGCCCGCATGCTCTCACTATCACATGGCCCAGGCCCCCTCTCTTCTCCTCAACAGAGCACACAGCTTCTCTGGGGTAGAAGGGGGGGTGGAACGCCCCAGAACGCCATGATGTGCTTCCTTTCCTCTTTCTTCTTTTTCTTTCTGTGGGCATCAGGAGATAGATGCAGGCAGAGAAAAACCGAAGTGTCAGTCTCATCTTCCCTCCACCGCAGCGACAACAACGGCCCCTTTTTATTGCTCATCAGAAGGCCCTTTTTGGCAGTGGCCAAGCTTTGCACTTTGCGGGGGACAGGGGGTTGGTTCTGTTTGCCAGGGGCCTCCCGCGCTTGCCTGGAAACAACCTACCGACATCTCTGTGCATTGGAGAACAGCCGTTGCATCCACTGTTGCAGGACTGGGTGCCAGCTTCCATTTGTCCGCATCTTTTGATTGGTTAGTGAGCCCGTTTGTGATCACGTAGGGATTATGATGCATTTAAAGATCTAGATGACATCACACACCAAGAAAGAAGAAATCTTGTGTAACTCACAGTAGCATGATTGTAATTTGGATATGTTTCCCCATACTCTTGAATATTTCAAGGGTTTTGTTTTGTATGGCCATGATGTGGAAAAACAGCGAAGTGCTTAAAACAAAAACTTTAAGACCAGAGGCAGAGGCACTTGACATCCAGGAGACTGAATGAAAGCTCAAGTAGTGAGCAGTATTCCTACTTATCTGTTGTCCAAGTCTCAGCGTTAACAAGTACAGTAGTGCTATTGTGTTCTTTTATCTGACTTAATACTCTAACTTATTTCTTTAACTCTCTCTGTTTTATTGTGATCAGCAAGCAGGGGGCATCCAAGAGAAGAGCTCAGTCTACAGGCAGACTATCAAAGGCAGCAAAAAGGCTTTTGATGTGTGCAATATTTACAATCTATACAACTTGTAAGCCCTGTCAGCTCTTGCACAAATGATTCAAAGTAATTTATTGCACAAAAACCATTATATATTTTGATTAGATGTGCAGTGAAGAGTATATGAAATGTTCTTGGCTACATGTCTTGACCTCAGACGACTCCAGTAAATGCTCGTCATAAGCACATGTTGAACATAAACAGCCTGAAGCCTGTCAAGCGACGGAGGATAAAACTGTAACCAGAAGCTGAAGGAGGTTTGATAATTTTATTACAGAGGAAATATCCCACACTTATCCTGAATGTGTGGACAGGACATTCAAGCCTTACACAGAGTTATTATATAAACTCTTCCAGAACATGTTAAAAAATAGAATTAAGTGCAAGCAAATGTGACCGTGAGAAAACGATACATGAAAATGGCTGCTGCCCTACTGACCTGATTACCAAAAATGGAACATTTTTATATGATAAGGCCATCAACCTCAAAGTAAACGTATGGCTATGAGAAAACCAGCAACATAAAGTACTCAGAGGCACAGCTGGTCATTCTGCATAGTGTCAGTTCCAAAATGTAACTTTGTCAGTGAATTTTCTCATATTTTTAGTGAATTGAGTAAATACTGTGTAAAATGTGTATTCAATTTAATCCAGCAACTTTCTGTACATCTTAATTGCTATAAAGAAATAGTAATTTACAGTAAATGTAGGCATTATAATGGCCACCCTGCCCTCTAGATATTGCAAAACAACAAAGCTTTCATAAGCTCCAACCTTCAAGATGTAAAGAAGCAAAATGTATAAAACAGACTAATGGGATGACTAACTTCGGTTTATCACGATTTGGTTTTGTTTGGAGTTTACTCAATCTTATACTGGTGATTAAGATTTCATGTGACCCTTTAAAACAGAAACGCATTTGTAAACATGCATCTTTGTGCAGCTTAATGATACAGCCAGGTCAACAGTACTGCCGAAAGTTTGAGCAGTGTAGCAATATGACTAATGTTTCATTCCTGCTGAAAAGTTTTACAAACCACTCATACCATGTAAAAAATAAAAATAAAGAAAAACATATTGCAAAAAAGCATTACTTAACATCACTTTGGTAACTAAACATTCAAGTTCCTGAGAGAGGCTAAGCACCCACACCCTTCAAATGTAGCCACTGAAGAAGACCTCTGGCCAGGTGTCCTGACTGCAGCACAGGGGTTGGTCCCTTGTTGATTACCTGAGAGATGGTGAGGGGCGGAGCCTCAAGTGGGTAGGCTTTTCCGGGATTGGAGGTTTGTTGCCATGGGGCGGCGTATGGGAGGGTGGTGACTCACTGAAGGTTTTCATGAGCTGAGCAACCCGTCCCCATCCCAAACAGCTCTCCTCAACTACCTCAGACCCCACATCCACGGAAAACTCCCGTTTAGAGGCAGCAACAACTCGGAAATCACCTGCAAATGGACAGAGAGCGATGAGACATGGACTTATGACCTTCAAGGTCTGTTTTTATAGGTGACAACTTCAAAACATTCTCACACTTCCTCTCCCACACCACACTTCTCTTCTGCCCTTTTCTCTCACTCAATTTTTCGCTTCTTCTCTTCGCACTCTCTTCTATCCTTTTTTCTCCCCGCCCCTTTTCAGTGTCTCCTGCTCTTTTTTCCTGGGCTGCAGACCGCCAGACCGGAGGTCGTCGGCGCAGGAAGTAGAGCAGGGACGCAGCTGGGTGTAGTTGGTGTGTGTGTGTGTGTGTTTGTGTACACGGTTATGGGTGTGTAAGAGTGTGCGTATGTGTGTGGTTATACTGTGTGTGTAATTGAGAGATGGAGGGATGGAAGATGAGGAGAGGGCCGCAGGGATGGCGGCGGAGAGCAGACAGACGCTGCTCAGACACCAGAAGGCTTGAGGAGCTGCTTATTTTTAGCCACGTCCCCAGGGGACACAGATGTGTGAGTGCGTTCGCTCTCTTTCGCTCGCTCTCGCAAACACATATACCCCTTCTCCTTTACACACAAAAACTATGACACACATTTTACCCCCTTGCAAACTCTTTCTCCTCAAAACACACCCTCACACACACTCACACAACCTGGTCAAATACACGAACCCACATGTGGCTGTGTCAGTGGAAATGTCCCAGTATTGAACCACAAAGCATCAGCTTTAAAGCAGACACTAACAGAATTGGTCTCACTTTGTGTTTTTTTGTTTGGTTGTTTTTTTTCTTCTTCTCGTTAACCTATTACTTGGGTAAATCTCATGAAAACAACAAGCATTTGACAAAAATAAATAAATAAGTAAATAAACAAACAAAATCTTAATGGTCCTGAAAAGTCCTCAAAATTATGATTGATTTATAATTGTTTATATATGTATATAAACATATATATATATATATATATATGTGTGTGTGTGTGTGTGTGTAGTATTTTTATAGTATGTATATTATATTTAGGGATGCACGATATTGGATTTTTGCCGATATGCCGATAATTTTAAACTCTTTTTGGCCGATAGCCGATGCAGATATATAATTTTTAATTTTGGTTAGTTTTAACAAGAACTTATTTGTTAGAAATAAATAAACAATAATAAAGTTATTTTATAATGACAGTACATTGAAGATTTGAAAATAACTATAAATAAACTATATATTAATCACTGCATTTTTTATCAGAAATATGCAGTGGTAACATTGACATTTTATTTTATGATTTAACATTTGTAAATGATCTAAAGCAAAAGAGTTGTAAAAATTCTGAAAATCTTTTAGCGCTCATAAATTGTTAAAAAAATATAACATTACATATTCATGGCAGGCTGCCGCTGCACGTGCAATTACTGTTTACACTATCATACAACGAATGCGTCATTCTGTGCATGCATTCTCAGTTTAAATGCAGCGATCCAAAACAGTGAATACAATCACCATTCAGGCAAAACTTTGCTTCAAGAATGAGCCACAATGCTGACTTGATCTAATTGCACTGTTGACAGTGATCTAATCGCTAGCACACCCTGAGCACATGTGAGTTAATGTATTCCTCTTATCGGCAAGACATATCGGTATAAATTTTAATATTGGGTCATGCCGATATTTACATTTAAAGCCATTATCGGACGATTCTGATATTGGTCCGATAATATCGTGCATCCCTAATTATATTATATTACTTTTTGAAAATGGTTTCCAGGATTTTGTTTGCATTATTATTATGTATATATTTTAATATTATATTTTATTTCACTTTATTTAGTTTTATTTATTTATTTCAAGACTTTTTAGGACCATTATGATTTTGTTAAAATTATTAAAATGTATATTCTATGTATTCTAATAATAATAATAATAATACTAACATTAATAATAATAACAACAACAACAACAACAACATGCAAACAAAATCTTGGTCCAGAAAATTCTCTTCAAAAATCTCTCATACAAAAATAATAATAATATTATAATATTATAACATTCACTTATTTAATGTTCTCAAGTCCTGCCCTATCTTCTTCTTTCTGCCCTCCCTCCCTCCCTCCCTCCCTTTCTCTCTCCCTCCCTGTGGCCCCTGACCTGTGGTTCCGGTGTTAATGTCCTCTCGCCGCACTGCGTGGGCCTGCCACTGATTGTCTCACTGTGTTGTGTGGTCGCCACGGAAACCCTGGATAGGCTCCAGCGTCTAAGGCGGACACACATGCGTGCACGGCCCTCTTACGCATACACATTCACAGAGTCACACTCGTGATCTAAAGCCGTTTGTTCCCCCACATTTTCAAGCCCCACTAGTAGTCTGTTCCGTGTCCTACAAACACACATGTGTGTTTGCGAGCCTGTCCGTGACTCTGTTCACACACACATACACACGCTGTTAGCTGACACCAGCGTAACAACTACGCCTCTCTCCCTCGTCACTCGCCGCCGTTTTCCATCCTCCCATAACCTCCCTGACCCTGAGACGCTTTCACAGAGCGGTCACATCAAAAAAGAAAAAAATGCTGAAACCAAACTCCCTGTCCAGGCCAGGCCAAAACTGCCCCCGCCAGCCTCACCGTGCAATCACTTGTGACAAAGCTTGTAAGCACCTGATCGCAGGTGAACCGAACGGCAAAACCACTCTCTGTTTCCCCTGTCAGTAACTGCTGTGCGTGTCTGTGAAAGCGAGAACGCATTCGACGGGATGTTTCCAATTTCACAGTCACCATATGCAGACAGAACAGATGAGCCGCACTGACAGCCTGTGCCGCTAAAAAGCACGCTATCTCTTTAAATGCCCCCACCTCTTAGAAGTGGGGCAGAGGGCAGAATTCCGGAGCGGCACGTCTGTGCGCTGAGCCAGGCCGCAGGGGGGTCACGGCTGCCAGAGGGAGAGGGGGAGGTGGGGAGGGGGGTTGAGCGGAGCGGAGGCTGGGGGCCCTGTCACTTATCAGCTCCGGCCGAGCGTCGCCCAGGGCCAGAGTCGGGAAGCAGCGCTGGAATGTGTGTCCTTCCCTCTGAAGGTGAAGAGAAGGGACGCACACACACGTGCGTGCAGAGATGAAGCGAGCAGCTGTGGAAAGTTGTTGCTTTCACGCACATGCCAGGATGAACATACACGGATGAACACGCACACATTCCCGTGACTTACATGCTCTTGATCCCACTACAAAGTTAACTGCTCACACAAATTAAACATTCCCATGTAGTCATCCAAGTGCATTTTCAAGAGATTTTTATTTTTACAAGCAACAAATTAGAAGAATATGTAGTCTGGATGATCATAAATTATATTCTAGATCCGAAAGTGCTAGTTTAACTTTATCTGAGTTTATTGGCTGCATTTAATTTATATGTCCAGCAGGGGGATTTTTCAATTGAAACTGCAGAAGTGTAATTCCTAATAATACACACTTGATGGCGTAATTTGAGCTTTTTGAGTGAGCCATAACATCTGTTGAGGTGATTCACACCACCAGGATAGTGTTTAGAACAAATGTTAATTAAAAACCACCCAGGAGATGATCAAGATATCGTTTCTTAGAGGAACCAGAAGAGATTTCAAACAAATGAGAAGCCAATGGAAATCAGCCATAATATTTCAGTGACATTTGTTTCTGCTTTTCTGCCTCTTTATTCCTGTTGTTACAAAAAGAACTGCCAGATCATAAAGCCTCCAGTAACATGCCTTTTTAGAGAATCTTTTGTTTATTCTATATTTAATTTTTATTTGAAAATGGGTGATCTCGAGAAGGCTGACAAGAAACGTGCAACTCATATTTAACCCCAAAATAAGACACAAAAAAAAATAAGAAACTATATTTGGAGGAAGAAAATGTGAATGCATCATCCTGACATTTCACTTATACAGTTCTTATTATTTTCCATGATGATTCTCATTTCCTGTACTGTAAGGAAATGAAGACTGCTTTATAGTAAAACAACAGTTATACTATTATAGTTTTTTTTATTATAAAACATAATTAAAGGCTATATAGCAGAATAATGCATTACGGTTTATAAGAAAGAAAAAAAAACTTACATCATATTTGCATAAAAAATTTGGTCTAATATGAAAATAAAACTTAAGGATTAGTTCCTTCTAATTCTGATTACTGTAATGCATCCTAACATTTATTATACTGGTTTTTTTTATTATTTTCAATGATGTTTCACATTTTCTGTAAGGAAATGGAGACAGCATTACAGTAAAACAACACTATTTATTTATTTTTCATTATAAAGTATAATTAAAGGCTATACAGCACATTCATATTCTGCAGCTTATATAATATATAATTTTTTCATATTACATTAATGCAAATATAAAACTTGCTTTACATTATGGTAAAGACAAAAATGCTCCATTGTCATGAAAACAATGCAAACTTAATGGTCCTACAATAACTTTCATCTTCTTACAGCAAAATATAATTTATTTAAAATGTATTTATTTTATTATTATTTTACTTTGGGGTGAAATATGACCTTGACATTTTCTTAAGAGGTTCTGTTGGGAATCACTGAAATGCAATAACAGATTTTTGCCACTTTAAACCCTCTCTAACTATATCAAAACAAACTGAATTAAATTAAATGTCTCACTGTAAAGGTCATGGAAATCAGAGTTACAATGAGTTTAATGCCAGTGTCAAATAGACTTGCTCCCTGACTAAGGAATTATACTGTACATTCTTTGTCTGAATTTTTTTTTTTTATATTATATTATATATATATATATACACACACACACACACACACTGGGAGACTGGAAAGATACATAAACACCAGACTCTCACCTCTGTTGATCTGTGGTTTGGGGGTGTCTTGGGGATGGAGTCTGGAGGTGTCAGGTAGCTGACTGGTCATTCTGTCCTCCATGTCCATATAGCCAGGTCTGCTGAGAGCCGAGGGTGTCAGGAGGCAAGATCTCGAGTGGGCCCGATAGCAAATTGAGGACAAGAGTGCTGAGTCATCCTCCGAGTGTACTGACTCAGCCTCCTCTTTGGACTCCTGAGGCTGATGGGATACCTGCCATAGAAACAAATAAACCATTTATAAAAGTAGTACAAGTTGGACTGAGTTTCCAGCTACAGTTTTAAACCGAGCACTATGTTACTGTTCTAAAACATCCCATAGGGGAAAGGGAGAAAATAACCAACAGATGAAATCTTGTTAATGTCTTGATTATTTCTCGTAGACTATACAAGAATAAATATAGAGCAAATGGGAACTTCAGCTAAAATTTCACGTTTCTCAGATTTGTCTCCTGAGAAACAGACCACAGCTATTTCACATGTCTCCTCTAATGTTCTAAAGATGGGTTCGAAAGATCTCAGCAATGTCACAAACTCTGAGCAGGGATTTGACTATCAACTCAAACATCAAATTCTTCCCAGACCAAATTACCTGGTCTATGGCATTCACATCAAGTCAACAAGCATCTCATCTGTCTCATATTTGTCCTAAGGAATTTTAGGAGGAATATCTAAGATAATCCAGTGAGTTTTTCTGATCTCCTGGGCCATGAAAGATGAAGCTCTGAACAATAACATTTTATCCTGTGGGATAAACATAAACACTTACATTTAAGACAACACCAAACAATTGTTATTTGGTAAAACCTTGAGTGCCTTAAGATAATGTCAAGATGGCTCCAGGCGGTTAATTTGATATATAAAATGAACTAAAATAATGTGAAGATGGGGGCCAGTTGGTCAGCGCAGACTTTTAAACAGGCAGATGAAACACCATCTGGGCCAGAAGCTTTTCTAGATAGCCTTAATAAAATATTAAAACAGCCAAAAATGAAATAAAGTAGCCTAAAATAACCTAAAACAAAACAGCCTAAAATACAAAATAAAACAATCTAAGAACAAATTAAATACAGTAGCCAAAATAAAAAAAGAGCTTAAAAAATGTAATAGCATAAAATATCCTAAAATAAAATATAGTAGCCTAAAAAATTAAATGGCCTAAAAAGAAGGATTAAAATATAATAGCTTACAATAAAATATAGTAGCCTAAAATAACCTAAAATAAAATAGCTTTAAATAAAATGTAGTAGCCTAAAAATAACAAAAAATAAAGTAGCCTAAAAAATGACCCAAAATAAATAAAAGCCTAAAATAAAATATAGTAGCCTATAAAGTAACCTAAAATACACTGAACAAAACTATAAACGCAACACTTTTGTTTTTGCCCCCATTTTTCATGAGCTGAACTCAAAGATCTAAGACTTTTTCTATGTACACAAAAGGCCTACTTCTCTCAAATATTGTTCACAAATCGGTCTAAATCTGTGTTAGTGAGCACTTCTCCTTTGCCAAGATAATCCATCCACCTCACAGGTGTGGCATATCAAGATGCTGATTAGACAGCATGATTATTGCACAGGTGTGCCTTAGGCTGGCCACAATAAAAGGCCACTCTAAAATGTGCAGTTTTATCACACAGCACAATGCCACAGATGTTGCAAGTTTTGAGGGAGCATGCAATTGGCATGCTGACTGCAGGAATGTCCACCAGAGCTGTTGCCCGTGAATTGAATGTTAATTTCTCTACCATAAGCTGTCTCCAAAGGCGTTATAAAGAATTTGGCAGTACATCCAACCGACCTCACAACCGCAGATCACGTGTAACCACACCAGCCCAGGACCTCCACATCCTGATAATGCACGGCCCCATGTTGCAAGGATCTGTACACAATTCCTGGAAGCTGAAAACATCCCAGTTCTTGCATGGCCAGCATACGCACCGGACATGTCACCCATTGAGCATGTTTGGGATGCTCTGGATCGGCGTATATGACAGTGTGTTCCAGTTCCTGCCAATATCCAGCAACTTCGCACAGCCATTGAAGAGGAGTGGACCAACATCCCACAGGCCACAATCAACAACCTGATCAACTCTATGCGAAGGAGATGTGTTGCAGTGCGTGAGGCAAATGGTGGTCACACCAGATACTAACTGGTTTTCGGACCCCCCCAGACCCCCAATACAGTAAAACTGCACATTTTAGAGTGGCCTTTTATTGTGGCCAGCCTAAGGCACACCTGTGAGGTGGATGGATTATCTCGGCAAAGTAGAAGTGCTCACTAACACAGATTTAGACAGATTTGTGAACAATATTTGAGAGAAATAGGCCTTTTGTGTACATAGAAAAAGTCTTAGATCTTTGAGTTCAGCTCATGAAAAATGGGGGCAAAAAAGTGTTGTGTTTATAATTTTGTTCAGTGTAAATAGTAGCCTTACTAACAGCTTATTTAAAAAATAAATAAATAAAACAGATGTAGCCAAACACCAAAACATAAAATAGCCTAAAAATGAGATATAAAACAAAATTGCCTTATATAGCCGAAAATAAAATAAAAAACCTCTGGAGCTGCCAAAGAAAGCAGATATTGCATGCCTGGACGCACAGACCGTGTTTAGTGTTTACACACACACAAGATGGAAGAGAACTGTGTGATGTGCAAGGACTTGCCCTGCCCAGGGGCTTGTGGATATTGAGGGATAAAACTGTGGTGGAAGAGAGAGAAATGGAAAAAATAGGGAAAGAGAGGTCCCTGCCCAAACCCCAGGGGACAGTCCCACAATCCCATCCATCTGTGACTGACAGGCGCGCCGTCTCGCATGCTTTAATTCCCTGATCAACTTTATCAACCATCTGCTCTTGAAGAACTCAGGGACCGAAATCAGCCCCTGGGCTCTCTCAGGTCCTCCTGCAGAGCACACACAGCCTGCCTGTCCTCATGCTCTCTGACACACAGGCCACACACTGAGAGCAATGCACCAAACTCTCCTTCAGCATTTAAAATGAGTTACATATGTAATATATGTTTTATATATCTCAATCCGTTAGGCTTAAATATATACCTTTTGATTCTTACTCTTCTGGGTGTGGGGATGATATGAAAAATGGGAGAGACACTAATTATCAGGTTGCACGTGAATATTAACTGCATGACATGTTCTGATTTGCTGAAAAGCAGACAAACTTGGAAAGAACTAGTTTTAGACTCATGCTCGCACACTCTTCTAACACTCTGTTTAAAGTGTATGTTGTGTTCAGCTGTTGTGGGGTCAAGAGTCTGAAACAGGTGTGGTCGGAGTGGCAGAGAGAGCGACAGCTGAGGGTAAAAGGATCTCAAGATGAGAGGACAAGGACAGCTGCTCTGACCTCCAACCCCCCTCCTCTGGAGCAGAGTGCCAGAAGAGACCACCGACATTCTGGGGAGGACATTCCTTTGCACCGAAGCCATGTTTACACTACAAGCGGATGACGTGACAAAATTAGAACGTGTTGGTGTCAGTGTAGAGGAGTCGGAGTAGTATATATGCTAACCCATTTTTATTTACAATATTACCCTTTTTTTAATGAAGTATTAATTTTTATCATCACAAATTACTATCATTAATAGAAAATATATTAAATAATCTATAACTAAATTATATTAGTATATTTATAATTTCTTAATATTAGTGCATGAGTGCAGAATAACTATTTCTTACTCATTTAAGATAAATTTTCACGGTTTTAAAATGAAAATAATTGTAGTATTTCCCCCCCAAAAAGGCAGACAGACAGACAGACAGACAGACAGACAGACAGACAGACAGACAGACAGACAGACAGACAGACAGACAGACAGACAGACAGACAGACAGACAGACAGACAGACAGACAGACAGACAGACAGACAGACAGAAAGAAAGGACGCAGAGAATTCATCATATGCTGATCCGCTCCGTGTTAAACGGCAGTAGTATCAATGAACAGAGGCTGTTAGATGGCGGGACTTTCCAGGGGCCTCTGGCGTAAATGAGATCTCTGTGGTCATATAGCATATCGCATCAGTCCAACCGGCCTGTGATTATGAAAAATTACTTGGAATTGTGATGAGTTTCAGTATCCTGTAAAAACTTTTATACCTGCTTCAAAAAAAAAAATATATATAATAATAATAATAATAATATAAATAAATAAATATAAATATATATATATATATATATATATGAAGGTATATCATATAATACATACTGGTAAAAAATGTATAGCCTGAATGCACTGTAAGTCGCTTTGGATAAAAGCATCTGCTAAATGCATAAATTATTATTTAATTATTAAATTATATTTTTGAAAACTATACATGCTCTAATAAACATATAACACGTGACACTTACATTTTCTGAAGGTGCTGATGGCTTTTCTTCATTTACAAGCATCTATGGGATATTAAGAGAATGCATTTATAAGATACATAAAATGGATTGGACTCATTTTTAAAGTATCCTGTTGTGACAAAACATCACTTAATTTGTGAATATCGTATCTGGTGCAATACCAAAACACACCTGTGGAGGCGCCAGAGTTCTTAATTCTTTGTCACTGTTGTCCTGTGAAAACAAAGACTTTTGACTGAGCAAAACTCTTCCACACTTCTATATATTATTACCATAACAAAAGCGGATGCAATAATCATATTATCATATATAATAATGAACTACTTTATGATCAGTTAAGAATCTGAAGGCGTTCAGATGTTTTTTGTGACTCTTGTGTGGCTCTTCACTAATTGGCAACTATGAGACACATGTGCAGATGTACAGGGACAGATGCTTGTGTTTAGCAAGTAGAGGATCATAGTGTGGTGATACTGGCCAGCACATCTCCTCCCAGGAGTGCGTTCACTGCGCACGGTGTTGCCATGGAAACCCTAGTGTGAACCCCCCCACCCACCCACCTTAGTATAACAGGAAAGAGAAGGTGGTGAGATCTCCACATATTAAGTGAAAACCTTGGACAGACAGTTTTAAAACGCACACTTTGTGTCCGAGATCCTGACCGAGATACAGTAATTCTCACACATTAAAGATGACATCACTGCACTTCAAACCTTCAAGAAATTCTGTTGATCACATTCACCTTATTTCTACTGTATTGTGTGCCCTGCCCACTCTGAAATCTCATTGGTGTGAAATCCTGCTTTTCATAACGGTGCATTAGATATCAAGTCAAATACGTTTTCAGCACCTCACACTGCTTCAAATTGCTTTTCACATGGTTGGAAAGTTGTCGCATTGTTCCTGTTAAGACACGGTGTTACCGCATAATTTGGGCTGTCTGTCAGTTCAAAATCGCATGGACGCCAACTGGCCACACACAGACAGACATATTGATTACATGAGCAGCGAGATATAGCCATAAAGAGCTGTGCAATGAAAGAGTTGTTGTGCCTGAGAAATGGAGAGGTTGGTGGGTGTGTGGGAGGGCTTTTTTTTTTTTGAAAGGATGAAAAGGAATAATGGAGGAGAAGGGAATGAAAAAAGGAGGAAAGGAGGGAGCAAAAAGAGGGAGAGATGGAGGTTGTGATTTATTTGGCTGTTGAACGATGACTCCCTGTGGAGAAAGTCCGTCTTCACTGCCCCTCGGCTGTGTCCGAGATTAATGGCGGCAACAGGAAGGTCACCTACACTCTCGCACACACAGCTGCATGAATACACAGCAGCAACCAATTTAAGAGTTAAGCAAATGTGGAAGTAAACAAACACATGCACGTGAGCAACACACCTTAAAGTTAAGCTGAACTCCTGAGTGTGCTTTGGGAGGAAGGTTTTCTTGCCCTGATCGTACAGGTTCCGTTGTTGTTCGGTTTATCAAGTTGCTCTTTAAAGTGCTGGGCTGGTTGCTGAAATACATGACAAGACATGTGAAAACACAACAAACAAATCTACGCCCTTCACAGTCAAACACGTTTTCATCATGACACAGAATTTCTTTCAGATTTACATATGTGCTCATTTACTAGCCCTTTTTTCTTATTTGTTAATACACAGCTCGCAGAGGAGAAATAAAATATGAAAACATAAAAATGGTTAAACTACATTTATTTACACTACCATTAAAACTATTTCTTCAGGAGGGATGCATTAAATTGATCAAAAGTGACAAAGTTACAAAACATTTCAATTTCAAATTAACACTGTTCTTTTCAACTTTCTATTCAAAGTATCCTGAAAAAAGGTAACACAGTTTCCACAAATAAATAAATAAAATGATATGCAATGCTTCGCATATCAGCATATTAGAATTATTTCTGAAGGATCATGTGACAATGAAGACTGAAAATTCAGGTTTGCTATCACAGAACATTACATTTTAAAATATATTAAAGTGCCCCTATTATGGATTTTTGAAAATTACCGTTCATGCAGTGTGTAACAGCTCTAAGTGAATGAAAACATCCTGCAAAGTTTTAAATCTGAAAGTGCACCGTGTATAAAGTTATTGTCTCTCAAAATGAAGAGTCGACTCTGAATCATTGAAAGGAGTGTTTTTTAAAACGAATCCCAAGCTTTTTCATGTTGATGTCAACATGAAATATTAGCATATTGCCCGGCCACTTGTTGGTCTTTCGAGTTGGTCTGAATGAAAATGCAAATTCATTCTTTGCCACTAGGTGCCGCTTTTGGAGAGGCAAAATAGCAGTTTCCCCAGTAACGCTGTACACAAAGCAGCACTGTGCTCACAAACGCTGCTTTATCAGGCATGATGAAACGAAAATGAGACCAATCGGACCAATCATCGCAGATTAGCGTCACGCAAAGGAGGGGTTTGGAAAAATTAATCGTTGAGCGAATCGTTTGGGAGTCGTTGAGCAAGTAAGGTAAAAATAAATGCATATTATAAGACAATGAAAGTGTTTTTTGACCTTGCATGCATGTCAACCTGTTGTTGGGGACTCCCAAAAGCAAAATATGAACCTTTCATAACCCATAACAGGGGCACTTTAAAGTTTTATCTATTTTACTGATTACGGTTACTGTACTTTTTTATAAATTTAGCTTTGGTGAGCATAAAAAGACATAAAATACCTTATTGACCCCTAACTTCTGAACAGTAGTATAAATAATATTTATATACATACCCCTTTTAAAAATCAAAATGCAATTTTAATGATATTTTTCAGATACTATCAACAAAAAAACTGGGGTCTAAAACTCGTATTATAGGTGGTTTATAGCATTAAATATAACTTGTTTTTATTCAGGTGTAGCACAACATCTTTATATCCTGATGCCTTTGTTGGTGTTTAAAGTTTTGTCCATACTGTGAATTGTTGAGGACGCTGGCAGTTTTTCTCTCTCCAAACCCTGAATAGATGATCTTGGAGGATTTGAGCTCATCTATCTCTCCAATAACAATGACCTGCACGTCTCCATCTCGTCCTAGCAGCCAACTGACACTCTTGCTATTAGCTACAAAGTGAGAAGAGGAGAGAAAAAAAAAACACAGTCTTAGTGGTTTGTACCATTAAGCTTAGTTGAAACACAACAAGCCTAATTTAATAATTATAATTTACATATTTAAACATTCTTATACGTCACAATTATTTATGCATTATGTTTCCTGTTCTTATGAATGTTCTCAACCATAACACGATTCAATATGTCAAAAGGAAAAAAAAAAGAAAAACATTTTAAGGCTGCTTATTGGATCAATAAAGCTAAACATTATTTTATCACTACATATTCCTTTATGAGAAGCTTATTAACTACTTGTCAAGTCTTAAGAACAAATGGCACAACCAAATTAAATACAGAGAAAGACAACATGAGATACAAATTACAATGTGAAAAATGAAGGTGACTTGTACTGTATAAGAGAGAGAGAGAGAGAGAGAGAGAGAGAGAGAGAGAAACATTTGACAGCAAATAAGGAAAACCTTCTCATGATGAACTGGTTTTTCTTGCAGGCAAAATAATAAGATTCCAGTTGAACAGCCTGACTGACACACTCGTGATCCCAGTCAAGAGAAAACACTCATGTCAAACCAAACAGGCTGAACTGCCATAATAGCTAAAACGACCATGTGAAATTATGTGGAAATGAGCAGAAACCAAAGTTTTATTATATATATATATATATATATATATATAATAATCACTGACTCAGCATTCCTGCCAGTGACTCAGTGACTTTGGGGGTAAATTAATGTTAGCTAAACAACATTAAATGAGGCTAATTCACTGAATGCTTAAAAAGGTATAAAATATAAAAAAGCTGATTTATTCTCTTGTAAGTTTTATGAATTTATTTTTCCTTTTTTTTTTATTAATAGTAGTAGCAGTCATCACAATTATTTATGCATTATGTTTCCTGTTCTTATGAATGTTCTCAACCATAACACGATTCAATATGTCAAAAGGAAAAAAAAAAGAAAAACATTTTAAGGCTGCTTATTGGATCAATAAAGCTAAACATTATTTTATCACTACATATTCCTTTATGAGAAGCTTATTAACTACTTGTCAAGTCTTAAGAACAAATGGCACAACCAAATTAAATACAGAGAAAGACAACATGAGATACAAATTACAATGTGAAAAATGAAGGTGACTTGTACTGTATAAGAGAGAGAGAGAGAGAGAGAGAGAGAGAGAGAGAGAGAAACATTTGACAGCAAATAAGGAAAACCTTCTCATGATGAACTGGTTTTTCTTGCAGGCAAAATAATAAGATTCCAGTTGAACAGCCTGACTGACACACTCGTGATCCCAGTCAAGAGAAAACACTCATGTCAAACCAAACAGGCTGAACTGCCATAATAGCTAAAACGACCATGTGAAATTATGTGGAAATGAGCAGAAACCAAAGTTTTATTATATATATATATATATATATATATATATATAATAATCACTGACTCAGCATTCCTGCCAGTGACTCAGTGACTTTGGGGGTAAATTAATGTTAGCTAAACAACATTAAATGAGGCTAATTCACTGAATGCTTAAAAAGGTATAAAATATAAAAAAGCTGATTTATTCTCTTGTAAGTTTTATGAATTTATTTTTCCTTTTTTTTTTATTAATAGTAGTAGCAGTCAGTGTTGCAGTACTCGAGTCCAGACAAGACCAGACTCAGGTCCATCTCAAGTCCAAATCCATATTTTCAGGAGTATTGGGACTCGCTGTAGTTAAAGGGTTAGTTCACCCAAAAATAAGGCTGTGTTTTACTCACCCCCGATGCATCCTAGGTGTATATGACTTTCTTCTTTCAGACGAATCCAGTCGGAGTTACATTATAAATTGTCTTTGATCTTTCAAACTCTATCGTTGTACTCAGCGGGTGTTGCATTCCTTCTGTCCAATAAACACTTGAATGTAGCTTGCGCTCACTGTTGTAAAATGGAAGCAGTTCCGGGGGAATTACGTATGAGGTCAGCTTTGTGCATGCGCCGCTGAGAAGTGACGCACGCGGAGAGATCGAAACAAAACACTGGTCACTAATTAGAAGTACAAAACGAGGATTTGTAAAGAAGAATGTCGGAGGATTTCGATATAAGCCAAGAGGAGACTTGTTTTCCTTTGCTAAAGTAAGGAAACTTTGCTTCTTTTGATCCTGTAAACAAACGTTGGTTTTCACGAGACTCACTGGCGCTTGCGCAACGCTGACCTCATGCGTCATGCTCCCGGAGCTGCTTCTGTGTACAACTGTTGGCGCAAGCTAGATTCAAGTGATAATTACGTTTTGAATATGGATATTTTTCTTACAAAAACGCATCGATTCGCTACAGGAGGCCTTTGTTCACCCCCCGGAGCCGTGTGAGACACTTTTTTTTTGTGGAAGGGTGCCTTTTATTTCACGTCTTTTGGACAGAAGGAATGCAACACCCACTGAGTACAACGACAGAGCTTGAAAGATCAAAGACAATTTTTAATATAACTCCGACTGGATTCGTCTGAAAGAAGAAAGTCATATACACCTAGGATGCATCGGGGGTGAGTAAAACACAGCCTAATTTTTATTTTTGGGTGAACTAACCCTTTAAGACCAGCTATTTCGAGTCATAGAAAATATGGTCTTGGACTCTTGACTTCATTCTTTCCTCCATATTAGGCCTTAAAGAGGTGATGCCAACAAAACAGCATCTTACAAGGATCAAGTCTATGCAGCAGTTTAGACTAAAACCTTTTTACTTTTTAAAACCTTAAACCTAGATGTGCAACTAGCCCTGGTCTCTCCTTCATTATACACTATCGTTCAATTTGGGTCGGTAAGACTTGTTAAATGTATTTGAAATATGTTTATTGTTCTCACCAAAACAGCATTTATTTAATCAGAAATGCAGTAAAAACTGTAGTATTGTGAAATATTATTACAACTTAAAATAACCGTTTTCTATTTCAATATATTTTAAAATCTAATTCATTAATGTGATGCAAAGCTGAATTTTCAGCAGCCATTACTCCAGTCTTCAGTATCACATGATCCTTCAGAAATAAATGCTGATTTTAGATTTTTTTATATATATAATTAATGTTGAAAGCAGTATTGCTGCCGAATATTTTTGTGGATTAAGTTCAGAATTAATGAAAACAGCATTTATTTGAAATAGGAATCTTTTGTTACAACATACATGTTTTTACTGTCACTTTTGTTTAAATGAATTCTTGCTAAATAAAAGCATGCAAATATGCAATGCAATATGTAAGACATGTTACAAAACCAATGGCAAAAAGCAAAACAAAACCACAAAAAACACATCCACATCATCTGTTCACAACTGTCGATAATTAAATCTACAATCCCAACGTTCTTCCTTTTACTTCCTCTTTCTTCTTCCTCAGTGTGTTTTGAGTGCCCGTGTTTCCTGTATACTTCCTGCTTTGTTGGCAGTCATCTATGTGAGGGAATGGAACTTGGCCTGGCTGACATTTCCTTTCTTGCTCTAAACACTGGGTCAGTAACAGAAGTGTTTCCTCTGCCTTGTGTAGCCTGCTCACACAATGCAAGGGTCAGGATGTCTCCAGAGACTCTCTTTATTGTGTTATTTTATTACAGTTTTGCACTATTGTGTGACAGAACCTTGAATGACTGACATTTTATCCACTTTGCTAACAGACACCATGGTCCATTGGACAGGGTTGCACAGAGGTAGTCAAGATGTTGTATCGGTATGTCTTGGGGAGACCACTGACCTGCAAGAACAGCTGCCATTGTCTCAAGGAGATAGAGGACTCTATGTTCTCCTCTGAGGTCTGAAACGCAGGGATCTGATAAGAACTGCTTTGTTACTAAGCAAAGATGACTTCTTCCTGGATTTACGCATGTCAACCTTATTTAATGCCGTGAACTTCCTTATGAACCCAAGAGAATGGCTATACAGTGGCCACAAAAAGGTTTCTGGACACTTCAAACTTTCATTGCATTGTAATATTTTGACCTCATTGACTAATCTAGTTGAGGATGATCTGTCAAAGTTCTGGCTCTTCCAGTAACAAAGTCGATTTGCCAGATTCCATAAGACCTCTGTACGTCTAACCAGTTTAAACGGGTTTAACTTTAGCTAAGCAATGTAAAGTTTCATTTTTCATTCTTTTGTTTGCTTTTTCACAGCTCTCTGTCTCTTTTGCCATTTTACAGATACCCTCTATCTCTCAGATGCATTCCTCTCACATCTCAGCGGTTTACTCCTCCCTCTTACCAGCTTTTAGACAGCTGTCCTCCTCACGGAGATCTCGTATCTGTGACGTCTGCGACCTTCAGTGTTAAAAAGCAGTGAAACTAAGGGAAAAACCCCATGATATACATAGTTCTTGACTGGATGTTTACAGTGTTTCAGTGTCACACTGAGGAGATCTTTTAACTAATATCAGATTCTGCTAATATTGGCCATGACATTTGTCCAATGACGTCTGGACGTCTCCTGCTTAGTCAGAAGACTGTAAATTTGGTCTTGTCCGTGACGTAGATGTTCCCAGTGGTCGCATCAATCACAGTAACTCTCATCTCATCGAATATAAATACTCGTGTTTCAAAGTGCTTTCTGTTGTCCAAACATCTTTCCACATCTGTGAGCCTATTCTGACATCACAAGATGTTTTTCCATGAACTCCATGAAGGCAGTACCACAGTAGTGAACCGGGTGCTATCAGCTAAGCTATTCTGTCCTGGCTGAGTCATGTGCCATATTAAGATTCAGACCATATTAAGTCATTTAAAGCCAGCAATAAAAAGGAAGAGCAGTTTTCTGTGGCTTACAGATGTGGGAATGGTAAACGCACTGATTAAAGATTTGCATTAGCAATTCAAAGGTCCCACATTCAAACCTCAAGATGTTGTAGATCTTTAATCTAGACAGATCCTGATGACCATGGCGCAAAAGAACTTTAACTTCAAGATGACGGTCCTTCTAAAAAGACAACTGCATGTCTTTTGCAGAAGTGCCATACCCAGTCAAAAAGGATCATGTCTAAATATATGATCTGCTTACATTTTATTTTGTAAATTTATAAGCTGTTTTAATGATCTACCTACCCTCATGTCAAACTAAAAATATTGTAAGGAATAAGGAAATATTGTAGCACTGTTTAAAGTTTGTTTAAACTAAATACATAAAATTGCAAATGTAATTCTCGGAGAACTCACTTCAATGAAATATATTGAATAATATATAAACCCAGTGCCCACCTGTCTTTGGTTTGGGTTTGAGTGGTTCCCTCTCCAGCTTCTCGTCACGCTCCTTCCAGCGTCGCACCTGCTCCTCGCGCATCTTCAGGAAGAGCGTCTTCTTCTGTTCGTCGTTCAGAGCGTCCAGCACATCCGGGTCGATGTACATGTTGTTCAAGATCTGCTGCAGCATGGCCGTGTGTGTGGTTCACCTGATTTTATCCTGAGATTCAGCAACAGTCCTTCAGTACAAGGATGACGGTGGTAAAGACGATGAAGCCCAGCTCGGTCCGTTCACCACACACAAGCTCTCATCACTAATTAGCAGCCATAAACTGGACACGCTATCAGAAGAAATGACAGATTAGAACATCTGGAAGCAACCTGGTCTCTTTAATAGTTTGTTTGCTCTTTCTCTTCCTGTGCAGCTTTCGATATTTTGTGTGTTAAGTTAAATAGAAAGTCAAAAAAGCCTTGATCTTTCTTTTTTTCCCTTCTTTTCTTTCATTCATTCATAGATTTAATAAAACGTTTATTTTTATTTAGGGATGTAAATGTTAACTTCAAATATATTAAAGGGGTCATATGATGCGATTTCAAGTTTTCCTTTCTCTTTGGAGTGTTACAAGCTGATTGTGCATAGATAAGATCCCTGAAGTTGCAAAGACTAAAGTCTCAAAACCAAAGAGATATTCTTTATCAAAGTTAAGACTCTGCCACGCCCCCCTAAAACGGCTC